AAAATAAAATAAAATAAAATAAAATAAAATAAAATAAAATAAAATAAAATAAAATAAAATAAAATAAAATAAAATAAAATAAAATAAAACAAAACAAAATAAAATAAAATAAAATGCCTGGGAAGTATAAACCTAGGTCCATGCGACAATGCCTGGAAGCAATACGCACTGTATTTGTCTCCATAAATTGAAATTGTGACTGCGAGAGTGTATTATTACCGTTGTCCAGAAGTATAACTTGAAAATGCTCCATGCTGATGGTACTTTGACCTTCTGTTGTTTTTAACAAGGGAAAAGTTTCCTCTAACCGTTGGCTGTGGTTCGGCATTTGTTTGGTTTGAAACTTGCCCATTTCCAATATTCTGATCAGCATTCAACTGTTTCTTCTACACAAGAAACAAATATATTTCATTGATTCATTTTTTAGAGAGTTTAAAAGTAACTCGTACTAATTGAGCAATGAAAAATAACATTGGTCATCAAAATTGCTACACATTGTTGAACAGGTTATTTATAATTACTGTTAAGCGATACAAATTCTTACCACACCACTTTTGATGTCTTTGACAGTACCGACTGACAGTTTAGATCTTATATTTTCATTAGCTGATTGCATCATATTCGATTCTTCGTTCAATAAATCACTGGTATACTTCACAAATCCATTAAATCCTGTCATGATCTTCTCATACTGTTAAAGGAATTACATGAATTAGGTTTTTTGCCTAGTATATTCTTGGCACATCTGAACTACTCCCTCTAAATAATGACACACACTTCTAGTTCACATGATAGTACTGGACAGATAGTGTACGTATTAATGTTGGGCAGCTAGCATTCAGTATTCAATGTCACTATTATAAACAGTACGTACATACAATGACTGCGTCACACTAGCTATGCAAAAATATGAAAGTTTATCTAACCTCTTTCTGAACGACATCTGTGGTACGTTGTACAATGTCTCCCATTTTTTTAGGATTGATACCATCTTCCATTGCTATACCAATTGACTTCATGTCAATCATAGGTTTCCACGGCTGCCTATCAGCCGATGAACTTCTGTTCTGTTCCTACACAGGAAAAAATCGCGTTAATAATTAAATGTTACCACGGAGAAAGGGTAAATCATGTATTTTGTACTATATATGTTGATTGAACATGAAAAAAAAACAAAAGTTATGATTAAATTCTAAATACCCCTAAATTAGTTAACCAGCCAATAGAACGGTGGGAATGGATTCAAGGGAAAACACAATAGAAAAATCGGAAATAATTTGCAATTAAATAAGAGTACTTTTACTGCCTTTGTAACTTATACTTACCAGTTTAAAAGGATCCGTCTGAACATTCTACAACACAAACAAATATATTAATAAATTCACAAATAAAGTTCCAAATATTAAAATAGATATTGCGATACAAAGCATGATGGAGGTAAAATAGAGAAATTAAACATCCGCGACAGCACTCGTCATTACAACCTTAACAATGTACCTTGTTAATCACAAATATATCATCTACTACTGTCATGGTCTGGTTAGAGTTCGGTACTGGAACTTGTCTCATTCGCTTCAAATGTCGTGCCTTTTCTCCACTAGGTGATCTGTGTACCGATGTATCTGATGTATCTTCATTTTCCTCATCAGAGGCAAAAGGATCTACGTACAGATTTCTACCATCCGCTTGCTTGGTTAGTTCTATCACATTCTCAACTACACTCGCCATTTTTCCCTTACCACTCTATTATTGAAAGCGATAAATACAAGCACATATTTATACATATACACCTATTATATACCTCTAATGATACCAACAAACACCTATTATATACCTCTAAAGATACCAACAAACACATATTATATACTTCTAATGATATCAATAAACACATTATACTTCTAATGATACCAACAAATACATAATATATACCTCTAAAGATACCAACAAACACATATTATATACCTCTAATGATATCAATAAACACATATTATATACCTCTAATGATACCAACAAATACATAATATATACCTCTAAAGATACCAACAAACACCTATTATATACCTCTAATGATATCAATAAACACATATTATATACCTCTAATGATACCAACAGATACATAATATATACCTATAAAGATACCAACAAACACATATTATATACCTCTAATGATATCAATAAACACATATTATATACCTCGAATGATACCAACAAATACATAATATATACCTATAAAGATACCAACAAACACATATTATATACCTCTAATGATATCAATAAACACATTATACCTCTAATGATACCAACAAATACATAATATATACCTCTAATGATACCAACAAACACATATTATATACCTCTAATGATACCAACAGATACATAATATATACCTCTAATGATATCAATAAACACATTATACCTCTAATGATACCAACAAATACATAATATATACCTCTAAAGATACCAACAAACACATATTATATACCTCTAATGATATCAATAAACACATTATACCTCTAATGATATCAACAAATTCATAATATATACCTCTAAAGATACCAACAAACACATATTATATACCTCTAATGATACCAACAAATACATAATATATACCTCTAGAGATACCAACAAACACATTATATACCTCTAATGATACCAACAAACACATATTATATACCTCTAGAGATACCAACAAACACATTATATACCTCTAATGATACCAACAAACACATATTATATACCTCTAGAGATACCAACAAACACATTATATACCTCTAATGATACCAACAAACACATATTATATACCTCTAGAGATACCAACAAACACATATTATATACCTCTAATGATATCAATAAACACATTATACCTCTAATGATATCAACAAATTCATAATATATACCTCTAAAGATACCAACAAACACATTATATACCTCTAATGATACCAACAAACACATTATACCTCTAATGATACCAACAAATACATAATATATACCTCTAATGATACCAACAAACACATATTATATACCTCTAATGATACCAACAGATACATAATATATACCTCTAATGATATCAATAAACACATTATACCTCTAATGATACCAACAAATACATAATATATACCTCTAAAGATACCAACAAACACATATTATATACCTCTAATGATATCAATAAACACATTATACCTCTAATGATATCAACAAATTCATAATATATACCTCTAAAGATACCAACAAACACATATTATATACCTCTAATGATACCAACAAATACATAATATATACCTCTAGAGATACCAACAAACACATTATATACCTCTAATGATACCAACAAACACATATTATATACCTCTAGAGATACCAACAAACACATTATATACCTCTAGAGATACCAACACATATTGCATACTTCTAATGATATCAACAGATACATAATATATACCTCTGATGATTTCTGCTGTTTATTAGTGGCATTCTTCTTCTGTTTTTGCAAGTCTTTAACAGTTATAGAACCCATTTTGGTTCGTTCGTGCTGTCTTATAATTGTCTTTGTCTTATCCAGTTCTCCACACAGCTCGTCTTGGTCTTTTTTTAACCTATCAATCTCTTTATAAGCTTCACTCAATTTACTCTCCGTTTCTTCAAGATCTCTTTTCAATTTCTTACTCAGGTCAACGAGGAGTGCTACGTCATTTTTGGGGTCACCGGCCGGGTTACCTAGCGCTGACTGTAATTGTTGAGCTCTCTCGGCAGCATTTGTCTCCTACACAAGTAATACAAATAAACCATTTACTATGATTACAAAAGAAATACAACTAAACTGCTTACTACCTGCATTATCATTATGAAAGGTCCCTGTACACAATTGATACACGATAGGTACGCAATAGATACTCACTTAGAGTACAATACGCGATAGGTACTCAAGGACAAAAGCAAATAAGATCTTTACGCGGCTAGCCGTGTACTGTATGCAGAGAGTGCTCGAGAAACGTAACTTCTAGGCATACATGCACGACAGGTACCCAAGAAACTTAGCTTCTACAACTTTTATAAACACACACACAACCATTTAAACAATGCGGGGAACACACTCATATTCCTGACAATTTAGTGCATATGGATATGTTTAACAGTTATATGTTCTGCTTGCTAAAAATATGTATTTATGGAATTTACATTTGCCAGGACTATTTGCCAATTATATTACCAATCCTTTTTATAATGGAATGTTGCATAGTATCAAAAACAGTTTTGAGCGGCAAAAAAAAAAAATGTAAACTTTTAGTGTGGAGGAAGATGCACTACTTGCATGCTTTTTCTGGATTGATATAATACTCTTCTGTGATACAAGTGAAACTGAACTTATATTTGACAAGGAAGTGTATATTGGTGGTTATATAATAAATGATTATACAAACTGGAGCGGAGCAACATCAAACAAATACCGTATTATGGTTTCAGCAATAACATTATTACTCGATAGATAGGCGAAAGATACGTAGCAAAACTTATTTGCATATCAATTACGTATAATACTCGATTAGTGGGCAAGAAACTACGTGTGGGGGTAGTTTGCAAGTAGATTGTTAACAAATATTCACAGTGACTCATGCTGCTATTTGATGTTTTGTATATTTATCTTATATACAACATGCACTCTATCATTGCAAGACTATATTGGTACTCCATGTACCACTGATATTCATGTGATGATCCTACAAAGTTAATTATGTCTACCTACATCTCCTACTTGTTCCATGTGTGTTGTGACGTGTTTATGTAACACAGCCAATTTATTAGATACGTTAACCCTATAGTGGAGATGACAGTTACAATGTGTGCAGTAATGGTTGGGTTTCCCTTCAGGATTTTCAGACCTGAAAAAAATTAGAATATTTGTATTAAAGAAAATGTCAGTTTGGTCAAATGCATTACAGAATATGACAGTTTGGACCAACGCATTACATAATATAACAGTTTGGACCAACGCATTACATAATATGACAGTTTGGTCTAAAGCATTACAGAATATGACAGTTTGGTCTAACGCATTACAGAATATGACAGTTTGGTCACATGCATTACAGAATATGACAGTTTGGTCAAATGCATTACAGAATATGACAGTTTGGTCAAATGCATTACAGAATATGACAGTTTGGTCAAATGCATTACAGAATATAAAAGTTTGGTCAAATGCATTACAGAATATGACAGTTTGGTCAAATGCATTACAGAATATGACAGTTTGGTCAAATATGACACTTTGGTCAAATGCATTACAGAATATGACAGTTTCGTCAAATGCATTACAGAATTTGACAGTTTGGTCACATGCATTACAGAATATGACAGTTTGGTCAAATGCATTACAGAATATGACAGTTTGGTCAAATGCATTACAGAATATGACAGTTTGATCAAATGCGTTACAGAATATGACAGTTTGGGCAAATGCATTACAGAATTTGACAGTTTGGTCACATGCATTACAGAATATGACAGTTTGGTCAAATGCATTACAGAATATGACAGTTTGGTCAAATGCATTATAGAATATGACAGTTTGGTCAAATGCATTACAGAATATGACAGTTTGGTCAAATGCATTACAGAATATGACAGTTTGGTCACATGCATTACAGAATATGACAGTTTGGTCACATGCATTACAGAATATGACAGTTTGGTCACATGCATTACAGAATATGACAGTTTGGTCAAAGGCATTTTATAATAGTGAATAAATGACTTAACACAATGAAGCAAACAAATATATCATTTTACACCTCGGCAAATTATTACTGCAAAGAATTGAGCATTAATGACCAAAGATAAGAAAATAGTTTAAGAACCATTGAATCAACAACCATCATTGAAATTACAAACTTTTCAGACTTGTTCATACAGTTCAAATTACAGCATAAAAGCATAAGTTATATGCATACTTAGGCCTGGAATCCAACGTGTCTTGCAGTTTCTTTAAATCTCGTTCTGACTTCCGTACCTTATCCCTCATATCATCCAAATGCGATTCCAAACCACGAATTGTGATTTCCTGTTAATCAAAACAGCATGTTTTCATTCAGTACGAATACATAATGCACTAAAAACATAGCAAAACTCTGGATGCATTTCCTCATAAGCGAATCATTTCATAATTTGAATTTACATTTAGTACATGTAGTCTTGTCGGTCGGAAGAATGTACAATCAATTATTTTCAGTGCACATGAATCTCTATCTCTAAAGTTACACCTTAAAATATTGTCAGTTCCCATCCGTTGTATTACAGGCAAGTCATTGTTAAAGCGTGAGGAACGTCGCCTGCGCACGCGCGGGAATTGAGTCCCAAACAACGATAACAACACATGCTGAAAGCGCAAAGGCTCATAGGTAGACGCTTGTTAGTAAACAATGACACGCTATGGCCATCTGACGCATGCGCATGCGCGGTTGACGACTCCCCCGCTTTAAAGGATTAATCATTAATTTACAGCTACTATTAGTTGTTATCTCACCTTTTCCTCTAAATCATTTTCAAGTTCTTGAGTCGCGGCCTTGAGACTACTATTTTCACTTTCAATGTTATCACATCGCTGCCTCAAGTCTCTTAACTGAGTTTTTAAAACAAACGAATCTTTTCCCTTGGAGAGAAATGAATTGATTTTAACAGTGGATACAAGTAGTTATAACAGTGTACAATTGTTTATGCGTGTTTTAAAGCTAATACATTTTCACACCTAGACAGTATCTTACCTCATTCGGATCATAGTTATTGTGAAGACTGGTTTGTACTACCCCACTGCTACCATCAGATTCACCAGGAACAGGAGTTACTCTTGTATTTTCTAACTGTCGACATTTCTGAAATTAATACATAATATGATCTATTGTAGAAATTGTGTATATTTATTTATTTGCATTTTTGTTTTTCCCTTTGTGTCTGTTTATTTATTTATTCATTCATTCTGCGTCTGTCCGTCTGCATGTGTCTCCCTGTTTCTTCACGCTGCTCCTTCCAACCAGATAATACTGGGTCAAGCGCAATACAGCCCAGACGTTCACCCTCGTACCACATAAAAAAGTACTTATCTTTAACAGTTCTATTTGCTTATGGAAATGTATTGTCTAAAACTAGTATGTAACTATGGTCATGTACGTACACACTGATAGCGTGGTTATAGTAAAGCTCAGACAGTACAATAAGTTGAATCATTAGAAACTTGAGTCGCCATCACAGAGAGAATGAGAATAAATAAATCCAACAGACTGTACATTGTGAACCTGCAAAAATCTTCTCCTATTTTTTCCCATCTCATAATTCGGAAATCATAGTTGTTAGTAATTGCTACTAGGTAATTGTAGTCTTTAATTATTGGTAGTATGCAGTAAGTAATCATAGTTCTTGGTAATTGGTAGTAAGTTATCATAGTTCTTGGTAATTGGTAGTAAGTTATCATAGTTCTTGGTAATTGATAGTAAGTTATCATAGTTCTTGGTAATTGGTAGTAAATAATCATAGTCTTTGGTAATTAGTATTAGGTAATCGTAGTTCTTGGTATTTAGTCGTAGGTAATCATAGTCTTTGGTAATTAGTAATAGGTAATCGTAGTTTTTGGTATTTAGTATTAGATTATCGTAGTTCTTGGTAACTGGTTGTAGGTAGTCATAGTTCTTAGGAATTGGTACTATGTAATTGTAGTATTTGGCAATTGCTAAAAGATAATCGTAGTCTTTGATAATTGTACTAGGTAACCATAGTATTTGGTAACTGGTAGTAAATATTCGTAATCCTCGGTAATTCGTAGTAGATAATCATAGTATTGGGTAATTAGTAGTATGTAATGTTAGTCTTTGATATTCACTGTTCAATATAACCAACATCATTTATGTTATATTGAGTGTTTTTTTACAAGTATATGTAAATTATGGTATCCCCTCTTTGCCTTATTCGAAATTCACTGTTCAATTATCTTTTCAATAAGTGAGTGAAATATTGATACGTACTGCACTAAACCATAATGCTTTAATAAATATAAATATTGTGGTCAGAGTAAGCACAGAATAAGTTCGGATTATTCTGTCTCGCTCATATTAATAATGTAGTTCAATGCGGACATGTAATTGATTTATGATCTATCTACGAACACGTGACACGCTATTTCAGTGGGCGCTGCTACTGATTGTTTAAAGTCATCGTCCCGGTTTGTTTATAAAATATAGCTTTTCTAA